GAGGAGGGGCCCCCCTCCCCCGTCCGTCCCCCCATGGCTGCCCCGCTCGCGAGTGTTGCTGTCGATCCCCTATGTGGGTGGATCCAGGCTCTCCACTCCGAGTGAGCTTAGGCTGGCGCGCGCGCTCTCCGAACCTGTTCTGCGCCACGCCGCCGCCCGCGTGGCCGCGACGCCAGCAAAAAGTGTGTTTGATGCGTTCATACATCGGCGTTACAAAAGTTTCGTCGTAAAATAAAAGCCGATCATCTTGCATAAGCAAAGACAAATCCCGCCCCGGTGGGATTTCTAGAACCGTGTGAACTTACGTCGGGATTTCAAAATGTCCCGTTTTAAATCTATACTATTATAGTAAGGGATGAAATCCCACTTTTAGAAATCCCGGATCTTTGATCCGACCGCTCTTGACTCAGTCCGCTAGGATTCTAGGGGGAAGGGGGGGCCAGCTCGGCGCGGCCAGGGCAGTGGTCAGCCTCTGCCCGCGTGCTCACGCGGAAGGAAGACACGAAACCCATGCCACCTTCAAGCTCTCATGAAACGTGACGAACTTTTGTAACGGCGTAGCGGTATTTCAGACACCGCGCGGCGAGCGTCGATCCCCTGGAAATCTGGCGTGGCAGTAGCGGGTCTAACGCAATGGCGATCATGGCGGATGATGCGCAGGGTTGCGCGCGATGAAATCGATGGGGTGAATGATGATGCGTCGCCATCGTGGATCCCTCACGGTATTTCAGACACCGCGCGGCGAGCGTCGATCCCCTGGAAATCTGGCGTGGCAGTAGCGGGTCTAACGCAATGGCGATCATGGCGGATGATGCGCAGGGTTGCGCGCGATGAAATCGATGGGGTGAATGATGATGCGTCGCCATCGTGGATCCCTCATCGGCGTTACAAAAGTTTCGTCATAAAATAAAAGTCGATCATCTTGCATAAGCAAAGACAAATCCCGCCCCGGTGGGATTTCTAGAACCGTGTGAATTTACGTCGGGATTTCAAAATGTCCCGTTTTAAATCTATACTATTATAGTAAGGGATGAAATCCCACTTTTAGAAATCCCGGATCTTTGATCCGACCGCTCTTGACTCAGTCCGCTAGGATTCTAAGGGGGAAGGGGGGGCCAGCTCGGCGCGGCCAGGGCAGTGGTCAGCCTCTGCCCGCTTGCTCACGCGGAAGGAAGACACGAAACCCATGCCACCTTCAAGCTCTCATGAAACGTGACGAACTTTTGTAACGGCGTAGCGGTATTTCAGACACCGCGCGGCGAGCGTCGATCCCCTGGAAATCTGGCGTGGCAGTAGCGGGTCTAACGCAATGGCGATCATGGCGGATGATGCGCAGGGTTGCGCGCGATGAAATCGATGGGGTGAATGATGATGCGTCGCCATCGTGGATCCCTCACGGTATTTCAGACACCGCGCGGCGAGCGTCGATCCCCTGGAAATCTGGCGTGGCAGTAGCGGGTCTAACGCAATGGCGATCATGGCGGATGATGCGCAGGGTTGCGCGCGATGAAATCGATGGGGTGAATGATGATGCGTCGCCATCGTGGATCCCTCATCGGCGTTACAAAAGTTTCGTCATAAAATAAAAGTCGATCATCTTGCATAAGCAAAGACAAATCCCGCCCCGGTGGGATTTCTAGAACCGTGTGAACTTACGTCGGGATTTCAAAATGTCCCGTTTTAAATCTATACTATTATAGTAAGGGATGAAATCCCACTTTTAGAAATCCCGGATCTTTGATCCGACCGCTCTTGACTCAGTCCGCTAGGATTCTAAGGGGGAAGGGGGGGCCAGCTCGGCGCGGCCAGGGCAGTGGTCAGCCTCTGCCCGCTTGCTCACGCGGAAGGAAGACACGAAACCCATGCCACCTTCAAGCTCTCATGAAACGTGACGAACTTTTGTAACGGCGTAGCGGTATTTCAGACACCGCGCGGCGAGCGTCGATCCCCTGGAAATCTGGCGTGGCAGTAGCGGGTCTAACGCAATGGCGATCATGGCGGATGATGCGCAGGGTTGCGCGCGATGAAATCGATGGGGTGAATGATGATGCGTCGCCATCGTGGATCCCTCACGGTATTTCAGACACCGCGCGGCGAGCGTCGATCCCCTGGAAATCTGGCGTGGCAGTAGCGGGTCTAACGCAATGGCGATCATGGCGGATGATGCGCAGGGTTGCGCGCGATGAAATCGATGGGGTGAATGATGATGCGTCGCCATCGTGGATCCCTCATCGGCGTTACAAAAGTTTCGTCGTAAAATAAAAGCCGATCATCTTGCATAATCAAAGACAAATCCCGCCCCGGTGGGATTTCTAGAACCGTGTGAACTTACGTCGGGATTTCAAAATGTCCCGTTTTAAATCTATACTATTATAGTAAGGGATGAAATCCCACTTTTAGAAATCCCGGATCTTTGATCCGACCGCTCTTGACTCAGTCCGCTAGGATTCTAGGGGGGAAGGGGGGGCCAGCTCGGCGCGGCCAGGGCAGTGGTCAGCCTCTGCCCGCGTGCTCACGCGGAAGGAAGACACGAAACCCATGCCACCTTCAAGCTCTCATGAAACGTGACGAACTTTTGTAACGGCGTAGCGGTATTTCAGACACCGCGCGGCGAGCGTCGATCCCCTGGAAATCTGGCGTGGCAGTAGCGGGTCTAACGCAATGGCGATCATGGCGGATGATGCGCAGGGTTGCGCGCGATGAAATCGATGGGGTGAATGATGATGCGTCGCCATCGTGGATCCCTCACGGTATTTCAGACACCGCGCGGCGAGCGTCGATCCCCTGGAAATCTGGCGTGGCAGTAGCGGGTCTAACGCAATGGCGATCATGGCGGATGATGCGCAGGGTTGCGCGCGATGAAATCGATGGGGTGAATGATGATGCGTCGCCATCGTGGATCCCTCATCGGCGTTACAAAAGTTTCGTCATAAAATAAAAGTCGATCATCTTGCATAAGCAAAGACAAATCCCGCCCCGGTGGGATTTCTAGAACCGTGTGAACTTACGTCGGGATTTCAAAATGTCCCGTTTTAAATCTATACTATTATAGTAAGGGATGAAATCCCACTTTTAGAAATCCCGGATCTTTGATCCGACCGCTCTTGACTCAGTCCGCTAGGATTCTAGGGGGGAAGGGGGGGCCAGCTCGGCGCGGCCAGGGCAGTGGTCAGCCTCTGCCCGCGTGCTCACGCGGAAGGAAGACACGAAACCCATGCCACCTTCAAACTCTCATGAAACGTAACGAACTTTTGTAACGGCGTAGTAGGAGCGAAGGCCAGCTTCTTTGCACCAGAAGTCAGCCCGTGTGCGCGCGCACCTGCCGAAATCGTGTGAGCATTCCCAACAGGTTTATGCAGCAGTCTCATCCGACGTCTACCCATAAGCATAGATTTGTCACCGAAAGCCTGCTCGGCGCCTCGCGGCCCCTCGCCACACTGATGAGATCGCACCACGTGGGGCACCTGCGCCCTCTGCCATAGGTAGCGCGCGGTGCGTGAACCCGTGCATCGCAAGGCCAGCCGATGACCCCGTCCGCGATGCAGAGTGGAAGTGGTGCTGATACGCAGTCCCACACGACGGGTAACCGTGCGTTGGTGATATCCGCGATGGACTCCACCCTGTCCGTCCCCCCCGCCCGACCCGACCCGCCCGCCTGTTAGGGTCCGCCCCCCCCGGCCCGCCCGTTAGCGTCCGCTGCCCCAATCCGCCTGTCAGGGTCGCTGGCCTGACCCGATCCGCCCGCCCGAATAGTGGCCCTGCGCGGTCGGGTTTCACCCTCTATGTCTTGTGCATGGTGGGATTTGCCGGCAATGGCTTATCGCTTACTTCAGTCGTGGCCTTGCGAGATTTGCCAGCGAATAGATCACGTCGTCGCATTTCACAAGGCATCGCATTTTGTTGTTTGTTCTTCCTATCGGTCTCATTTATCTTTTCGTGTTTGGTACGTGTCTGCTCTCTCTCTCTCACACTTTGTATACAGGTGTATCAAACAACGTTTCATGCATATGTGTGGTATCACGCATAGTTTCTTCTCTCTTGTCTGTCCTGTCTCCTCTTGCCTCTCCGTTACTACTCGCTGTCTTCCTATCATGTGATTTCTTACACTCCTCTTCGCTCTCCTTTCCCCTCCTCTCCTCTCCTCCTCCTCCTCCTCCAGCCACGCGGTGATCCTCTCCTCCCTCGTCTGTCTTGTGTATTCCTTCCCTGTGTGCTCTCTCCCTCCCTCTCTCCTGTCCTTCGTTCATTTCCGTTGCCACCGCCCTAGTACCCCTTTCCTCCTCACCTCTCCTCTCCTCTCCTTTCCTCTCCTCTCCTCTTCTCTACTCTCTTCTTCTTTCCCTTTGCCCTCAGCCCTTTCTCATACCTCCCCGCCTTCTTTTTTTCCAACGTTCTGCCTCGCATCTCTGTTCGCCCGCCTTGCCTCCGCCCGTTTCCCTCTCCCCGCCCCCTGCTCACCCTGTCCCCTCAGGTCTCGTCTCTCTTCCCCCTTCCCGCCCCCTGTCCTCCGCCGTGCCTTACCACCTCCTCTCCGTTCTCCCTCTCCTCCCTCCTGTGCCTCATCTTTCTCCGCCCCCCCCCCCCCCCCGCTGGCTCTGCTTTTTGTCTGTCACGCGAGTGAGCCTGGCGCACGTGCCCCCACACGGTGAGGAGAGCCGTGGCGGTGATGACGTGTGTGGGGGGCCACCCCGACCCCGGGACGGCCGGGGACCGGGCCGAACAAAGGAGATCGGCGGCCGCTAGGGCACGGCGCCAAACTGATGGCGGTGGGGGGCAGCCGTCGAGGCCACGCAGCTGACGTCGTGCTCTTCAACAGCTGGGCTCCCCGGAGGTCTGCATCCCTTCCCCGGGACAGGCTCTTCGTCCCGAGTTGTGCCTTGGCGGTCCCGGGGCCCAGTGAGGGCCCCCAGGGGCCGAAACGGCCAGAGACCTCCCGCCGTTTTTTGTTCCTTCGTTCTCTGTTTGGATCTTGTCCTCATCACGGCGCGAGGATGCGAGGGATGGCCGAGCCGAGGAGATCGGCAGCGCACGGGAACGAGCCGGAGGGCCGTGGGGCACGGAACCGAGGCCGAGGCAGGCCGTCTGCTGCCGCGGGCATGCGCTCTCTGCGTGCCTCGGGTCGGTGCAGGCACTCACCGACGCCTTTTCCCACTCCCCCCTCCCCTGCCCCCGCCTCCTCATCACCACCTGTCCCCCTCTCTGTTCCTTCCTCGCCCCCTTCCCCCGCCTCACCACCACCTCTCCCCAATCCCCCTTCTTCTTCCCCACCCCCCTTGCTGCCCCCTCTTCCCCCCTCCTTCCCCCCCTCCTCCACCTCGTCCTCCTCCTCCTCCTCCTCCTAGTCCTCCTCTTCCTTCTCCTTTTCCTCTCCTCCTGCCCCTCCTTGTTTTCCTTCCTTTTTCCCCCTCCCCTTCCCTCCTCTTCCCCTCCCTCACCCCCCTCGTCCGCAGTTGGGGCCTCTCAGGACCGCGTCGCCGTCCAGGAGTACACCAGCGCCCAAGGGCGCAGGCCGGTCTTCGGGGCGGGACAAGGACGAGAGGGGTGATGCTTTTGTTGTTGTTGTTGTTGTTGTTGTTGTTGTTGTTGTTGTTGTTGCTGTTGCTGTTGCTGTTGCTGCTGCTGCTGCTGTTGTTGTTGTTGTTGTTGTTGAACATTAATTATTCTAAAGAATAATTATTGTTGGGCCCCCTGGTGCGCGCCCCCCCTGCGCCGCCTAGGCCGCAGCTACATTTTCATCATTTTCGTGAGGAAGCCTCAGAAAAGAGGGTGTGTACAGGATCCGGTTGTTTTGTTGTAATCCGCTTTCCCTTGCAAAAAACAATAGAAAATGACATTTCTTGTTCTAATATAATCAAATTTCAAGAATCCCTTGCAAAAAATAAGGTAAAGTGGACATTCGCGCGCGCAAGACGAAATCCTTCCAAAACCTTAGTGTTCGTAGCGATTTTAACATAAAAACATCAAAAAACCAATGGTTTTTCAACAAAAAATGTCAAAATCTCATCCCGCGCGCTCTTGCGGATTCGTAGGAAACCCAACACTTTTTAAACATTTCTGTCAAACGGGCTTTTGCGAGCAACTTTTTCGAACTTCTGCGACAACGGTTGCGCACCTGCCAGGGCCATCATCCCTGTCAAATAATACCATGCGGGACACATTCGTTTTTTCTTCGCGCGCGCACGCCGTCGTCGTCGGCCGCGGGGCCCTGAATAGTAGCCACGGTCGTCCGCATGCCACGAAGTGAAGTGTCCGAACGTCATAGGGCGGGAAGCTGGGTGTGGGTGGTGGCGAAGAGTCGTTTGGAAATTTGGTAGAGCTTGAACCGGCCCCCCCACAAAGTGGGGGTATTGCCCGCCTCCTATGAAAACCCTGGCACTGGTGAGAACGGAGTGTCCCCACGTGCTAGTAATTGTTGTTGTTGTTGTTGTTGTTGTTGCTGCTGCTGCTGCTGCTGCTGCTGCTACTGATAGTGATGGAGGTGGTCAAGATGATGACGATGATGCTGATGATGATGATGCTGCTGGTGCTGATGCTGCTGCTGATGATGATGATGATGCTGCTGATGCTGATGATGCTGCTCATGATGATGCTGATGATGATACTGATGATGAAGCTGCTGCTGGTAATGTTTTTGATGCTGATGATCACGATTATGAAGATGATGATGGTGATGATAATGATTATGATGATGCTGCTGATGATGGTGATGATGGTGGTCAAGATGATGACGATGCTGATGATGATGATGCAACTGATGATGATGCAGCTGATGATGAGGACGATGATGATGAGGATGAGGATGAGGCTGTTGATGGTGATGAAGAGGCTGAGGATGCTGCTGCTGCTGATAATCATAATGATGATGCTGATGCTGATGAGGATGATCACGATGGCACTGGCGATGACGATAATTCTGCTGCTTCTGATGATGCCATTGTTGTTGTTGTTGCCGCTGCTGCTGATGATGCTGTTGCTGATGATGATGCTGATGGTGATGCTGCTGATGCTGATGATGATGCTGCTGCTGATGCTGATGCTGATGCTGATGCTGCTGCTGATGATGATAATGCTGATGCTGCTGATGATGCTGCTGCTGATGATGCTGATGATGCTGATGACCACCACGATGCTGCTGCTGATGATGATGATAATGATGATGATGATGATGAAGATGATGATGATGATGATGATGATGATGATGCTGATGACGACGATTCTGATGAGGAATGTGATGATGCTGATGCTGAGGATACTGCTGATGATGCTGCTATGATGATGCTGATGATGCTGATGCTGTTGGCACGATGAGGATGATGATGCTGATGATGCTGCTGCTTCTGATGATGATGAATGTGATGATGCTGCTGCTGATGATGCTGATGCTGACTGGTAATGATGATGCTGATGTTGATGATGTTTAGGATGATGCTGATGCTGATGATGATGCTGATGATGAAGATGCTGATGAGGGTGATGCTGATGATAAGGATTATGAGGATGCTGCTGATGATGATGCAGCTGATGATGAGGACGATGATGATGGGGATGAGGATGAGGCTGTTGATGGTGATGAAGAGGCTGATGATGCTGCTGCTGATGATGATGATAAGGATTATGCTGATGATGATGCTGCTGCTGATAATGATAATGATGATGCTGATGCTGATGAGGATGATCACGATGGCACTGACGATGACGATAATGCTGCTGCTTCTGATGATGCCATTGTTGTAGTTGGTGATGCTGCTGCTGAGCATGATGCTGTTGCTGCTGCTGATGATGATGCTGCTGATGCTGCTGATGACCCTGCTGCTGCTGATGCTGATGCTGCTCTGCTGCTGATGATGGTGATGATGCCCAGAGGTCCGATGTATATTGTTATTCAAGAGAGGGTCCCCCGAAGTCCCGTCCTTTCCCCATGGTCGGCTCTTCATTTTGAGTAGTTTCATGACGGCCCTAGTGCCCAGCCCCTACAGGCCGAAGCAGGCGAGAAACTTCCGCATTGAAGCAACATGCGTTGGAGGTCGGGAGGAGGAGGGCGGCTGGGGGACGCGTAGGGTTGGCATCGCCCAGACATGGCTACATTCAAGAGGCTTACGCCATTCCACCGACGCCCGACAGAAAGCATAGGCAGGGGGAGAAAATCTTCGAGGCAGGCTGAAGTCTCTCAGGGCGCCTCTCAGCAGCCTCTTGGAGCGTTTGTCGAGTGGCGGCTTTTTGGTTAGGGTCGGCGTCGCCCAGACATGGTTATTCTATGTATGCGTCGGCCCCGCCGGGGGGGAAAGGCGCGCTCCGCAATCTTGCAGTGTAAGCCCAGTACCGCTTCGGCCACGGCGTATCATAGTGTGCGTCAGACACGCGTCTCCAACATACGTACATCGTGGTAGCATGTCCTTCTGTGTCCCATATGGGGAGGGAGCGGCGGGGTAGTGGTGGCCTACGCCAGCGCCTGCCCCCCCCCTCCGCGAGGTGGCTGCGGAGCCAGGCGCGGCGCGAGGAGCAGATGGCGGCGAAGGGCGCGGCGAAGGTGCAGCTGCTGCGCACGGAGCTGGAGCTGGGCCACGAGGCGCAAATCCCCCCCGCCCGGGCGCCGCACACACTTCTTGTTTGTTCGGGGGGGGGGTCCTTTGGAGGCTGGTGTGTGTGTGTGTGTGTGCTTGCCGAGGAGGGATGTACACGAGGAGGGTGAACACGGGGAGGAACACCACGAAGAGGATACTGAGCATGGAAGTGACAGGGCATCTCTCTATATACACATGTGTACATGTATATGTTTACATATACATACGCGTATGTATGGATATACGTGTGTATTTATGTATGTATGCATGCATGTATGTATGTATATATGTACATATAGAGGTATGTACGTGTTTGTGCACTTGTAGGTATGTAGGCAGGCTGGTAGGTAACTCTGCATGTACGTATGCGTGCATGCATGCGTTTGCATCTCTCTCTATATATATGTATGCATGCGCACAGATGTATGCATGTATGAATGAACGAACGACTGAATGTAGGTACCTATTTATGTATGTGGGTGTGTCTGCATGTATGAATGTGTATTTGCATGTATATATTTATGCATGTATCGATTCATGTATGCATGCATGTACGTACGTACGCCTGTCTGTCTGCCTGCCTGCCTGTCTGTCTGTCTTTCTGTCTGTCTGTCTGTCTGTCTTGCTGTCTGTGTGTACATGTATGATGCATGTATGTTTATGTGCATACTTGCTGGCATGTGCACATGCATGTATGACGGTATGTCGTAGGCATGTATGTATTTCTGTGTATAGATATGTATGCATGCGTGCATGTATGAATGTATGCGCATGCCTGTATGCATGTATGTATCCATGCATACATGCATGCATGCATGCTTGTATGCATATACGTATGTATATATGTAGGTAGGCAGATCTGCCTGTCTGTATGTATCTATATGTATCTCTGTATGCCTGTGTGTATATGCAAGTATGCATGCATGCATGCATGCATGCATGTATGTATGTATGTATGTATGTATGTATGCAGGTATGTTTTCATGTATGTGTATGTATATGTATGTATGTATGCATGCATGTCTGTCTGTTTGTCTGCCTGTCTGTCTGTCTGTCTGTCTGTCTGTCTGTATGTTTGTATGTATGTATGTATGTATGTATGTGGGCGCCGCCTACATTGGGAACATCTTCGGCAAATCCCTGGTACCGCCCTCCCGGACCTCCCAGGGAGCCCCAGGAGGGCCTCGGGAAGGCCCACAAAAGGTTCCGAGACACCCCGCAAGGGCTCTCGGACGGCCTAGGACATCTTTTCCCGACGGCCACGAGCTCCCCACGAGCGCCCAAGACACTGCCAAGAGGCCTCCAAGAGGCCCCAAACCCGGCCCAAGAGACCTCCAAGGAAGCCCTCGAGAGGTCAAACTCATTGGAAACCTGAGGACAATCAGTATTTTTGCGTCCTCGCATTTTCGCCTCCGATGCGCTTCCGAGGCTTGCGCATGATCCCCGAGATAGCCCCAAGATGCCTTCCAGAGACGCCCCAAGAGGCCCCAAGAGGCCACGAACACGCTCGACATTTCGCCGATGATATTTCGTGTTGCTGCAGCAGGCTTCGTCGATACTTCGTCTAGAGCTTGAGCGCGCGCGCGAAGCGCGCGATGGTCCTCGATCACGAGCGTGACTGCTTGGGCCCGACTGGTGACTGGCAGCCTTACTTGCCAACGAGAGCCCTGTGAATCGGGGGCGGCAAAGGGGGGGGGTGATGACTAGGGGGTGGTGGATATCATGACGTGGGCCATGATATTTCCCTAGATTTCATGGCGCCTCTTCTTGTTTCATTACGTCCCTGGCCCCCCCGCTGGGCCGCGCACATGCCGCCAGTCATGATTTGCACCCCCCCCTCTTGGACACCTCCCGAGTGAAACAGAGTCAGGGCGACAGCGTGGATCCCAGACAGGGTCCGGCTCGGTGCAGGCGCTGTTCGGGGGTCGGGGCGCCGCGTGGGCCCCGGACAGGGCCGCTTCAGTGCAAGCGCTGTTTGGGGGTCGGGTGCAGTCGTCGTCGTCGTCGTCGTCGTCGTCGTCGTCTTCCGCCTGGCTGCTTTCCTCCTGCCTACCTCGCCTGGTAGCAGCAGGCAGAAAGTGTGCGGACGACGATGTATACAGACACACACATATATATATGTATATATATACTGAGATGCATCTATGTACACACATGTATGCATCCCGCCAGTGCCCCACCTTCGAAGCACAGGCGGGGGATGTTGCGGGATGAACGTTCGCGGTTGCTTCTCGTGCCGAATTTGTTTAGAATGCGCATGGCAAGACCGCATGCTTACCCAGTTGTCCGTGCTACATCGATACCTTACCTCGCAGCGCGTTGAGCCCAAACGTCTTATTACGTCGTCAGTGAGACAGCAACGGTTCATCGAGCAATACAAATTGATAACCCTAATAACACGATGCAGACGAGGCCTCACTGAGGTCCCCGTCTTCGCAGTAGGGACCATCTATTCCAGACGCTTCGCGTATCCTCATCACTGGCCCTACTGTAGATGTCTCACCGCCAGGCCTTCCTGGCCTGTCAGTGGGCCACGGCTCGCCTGTCCACTGGCTTTCCCCTTGGACTTTCTAACCGAACGAACGGCCTTCCGCCGGCACCCTGGACCTTTCAAACAAGCAGCACGGCCTTCCGCCGTCACCCTGGATCCAAGTGGCTCTGAGGGACGCGTCTTGGGTACAAGCCGCTCTCGTCTCTCTGGTGCTTGACGACTCGGTTGGGTGCGCTCAGTCACCTTAGATGTGCACACTCCTCGGGGTCTGCCGTGTATCGTGCTCTCGGCGCCCTTCCACTCGTCGGATCTGGGCTGTCGCATCTCAGTTGTGGAAGGTACTCTTGTCATCATGCTCCACACCCTGGATGCGCTTTCTTGCGTCGCGACCTGGTTCGCTGTCAGCTTTTTTCCGTTGGACTGTCCCCAGACAGCCTGTGGTACCCGTCAGGCTCCCTGGATCGGTGTCCTCGGGAACTCTCAATGCTGGACGGCTTTCCACCGTGACCCTGGATCAGTGGCTTTGAGGGACTTGCCTGGGTATACGCGGTCTCGACCCGCGTGTGCTCTCCGACTCGTTCTGGGCAGCACTGAGACACTCTGATGTGCACACGCCGCGATCGCGTTGCGTGCATCAGGCGCCCTTCCACCCGCTGGGTCTGGGCTGAAGCATCTCGGTGTAGAAGTTTCTCGGAACTTTTTCACACTTTGATGCTGTTCTGGCGTCGCGGCTCGCTGCCGCCGTGGGGATCCCCGCTGGACTTACGTCCCCAGTCGTCTGTGCTACTTGTCAGGCTTGGGTCGACGTCCTCGGGTACGTTCCTCTCGTTCGCACCTGGACGTTGGGACGTCTCGCGCCATTTTGGTTGCGCTTGGTCTCCTCGGTCCCTACTTCAGGCCCGTTGGACGCGCCGTTGTATGCCCGTTCAGGGGCTGCCTCTGGCTCCTGGATTGCCTTGGCCTCGCCGCCCTGGACGCTTTCGTGAGCCGCCTGATCCGCGGCCCCGCGCGCGTTAGGTAATTTAGTCGCGTCCGCGGCCCGTGCGCGACCTCCCGCCGCTGGCGCTTCCGCCTGCGGCTGTAAACAAAGAGTATCCTCATCACACCATCCAGAAACGATGCCCAGGCGAGCTGAGGTGATAAGGGAAGTGCGGGAGCAAAGAGGGGGACAACCGAACCGTGTGAAGGAGGGAGGAGGAGGAGGCTGGATGTATGGATGAGGGAGCGGGGAGGAGGACGATTAATAGGATGAGGAGGAGGCGGAGGAGGAGGAGGAGGAGGAGGAGGAGGAGGAGGAGGAGGAGGAGGAGGAGGAGGAGGAGGAGGAGGAAGAAGATAATGAGTAGGAGGATTAAGGGGGACCAGGAGGAGGAGGGTAAGCCAAATAGCCAGGAGGATAAGGAGGAATATAAGTAATACTAAGGAAAAGAAGCAGGGCGAACAAAAGAGCCATAAGCCTCTTGAGTGCCTCTCGGAGCCTCCCCTGGTGTCTCTTGGAAGTGAAAAGGAGGAGGAGGAGGAGAAGGAGGAGGAGGAGGAGGCGGAGGCGCAGGAGGAGAAGGGGGCGGGGGACAGAGAGAAGGAAGGAGGCAGGAGGAGGAGGAGGAGGAGGAGGAGGAGGAGGAGGGGGAGGAGGAGGAGGAAGAGGCGGATAAGGAGGAGGAGGAGGAGGAGAAGGAGGAGGAGGAGGACAGTACGACGATCAGAACCGCCTCCTCGGATGCCTCTTGTTTTTTTTGGGGGGGGGGCTCTTGGAGCGTCTGGGGGGCATCTTGGGTGCCTCAGGGATCCGCTCGAAGAGGCTTGGGGGCCTCTCAGGAGCCTCTTGGAGGCCTCTTGGGCGCCTCTTGGGGCCCTCTTGGGGCGCTCTTGGGGGCCTTGGACACGCTCTTGGGGCCATCTCGGAGGACATCGACCAACCATGAGGGTTTCCTTGATTAGCGCTGCCCCTCGAGAGCCTCTAAACTCGCCTCCTGGGGCGCTCTTGGGGCGCTCTTGGAGCGCTCTTGGGCGCTCTTGGGGCCGTCTTGAGGCTCTCTTGGGCCCCTCTTGGTGCCCTCTTGGGCCATCTTGGAGCCATCTTGAGGCCTCGGGTGGCCATCGGAAGCGAACAGACGAGAAGGCACAGCTCATTGATTTTCCTTAGGGTTTAGAAGGATTTTGGCCTCTTGGCGGCCTCCTTGGATGTCTCGGAGGCCTCTTGGAGCCGTCTTGGAACCTTTTCGGGTCCTCTTGGAGCATTTTGGAAGCCATCTTGAGGCATCTCGGGCTATCTTGAGCCATCTTGGATGTCTTCTCGGGCTCTCAGAGGCCTTCTTGGAGCCGTCTTGGGCCATCTTGGATGCTCTGACCGCTCGCGACCGCCTCCGTCCAGGTCTAGGGGAGGAGGTAGGGGGAGGGGTCAAGACTCCCGCCCCGCCCGAAAGCCGTCTCGCTCACTCCCACCCGCCCTCCCAACACATACGTAGCACCCGAGACTGGCCCGAGCCTCAGCATATTCAGCAGTCGTCTTTG